TGAATAGATTGTGCCGTGATCTTCGACAGCATGAAAATCCATACCTTCCTAGACTGCTTTACTCTCTCCTCACCAAACGAACGTTTCATCCAATCCACATTCACTTGAGCTGCAGCTACAGGAATCTCTGGGCCTCTCATTGCGTCAACCACTCCCTCGTTCTCCATCCACGCTTCAAACGCACTCGTGAAAATCCGCAACGCAACCTCCATCGATCGATTTTTGAGGAAATCATCACTCCAAACAGGGACCTCGACTTTGTCCCGCTGTTTCAACTCTACTGTCTGGGCGCTAGACGTGCCTGAATGGGCACGATGCCCCTGGTCCTGGGAGTTTGCCGTGAAAGCATGCTTGAGAAGGTCGACCAGCTGACGCATCGAGTCTTGCTGATCTCCCCCCGCCGCCGCTCTCCCTCCCAGATTGTCTTGTTCTTCTGCATCGGCGGTGAACGAATAGTTGGTTCCTCCATCGCCGGTGCCTTCTCCCGGGGAAGGATCACCATGACCTTGTCCCCCCGGAGGCTGTCGTCCGTCTCCATCCGGCATCTTGCGCGCGTAGACACAGCGGCCACTCTCTTGATCGAAACGCTAGCGTGTTGAGTAGCTTTGTGCGTGGGTGCCTCGGCGCGGGGTCCCGTAGTGGGAAACAAAAGGTGCCAGCAGCTGGGTACTGCCAACGGTCAAAATGTAGAAACTATCCGCGGGCGTGAAAGCCCTTCTACGTGGTGGAGCGTGGAAGCTCGTGTATAATATAGTTGTGGCGTGGAAGCCGGGTGGCGTGGTGGCCCTGATGTAAAGGTATATTTAGGGACGTGGGAGTCCTGAAGGCGTGGAAAGCCGGGTTGGCGTGATAGCCGGAGTATGGGCGTGGAAGCCGGGGTTGGCGTGAGAGCCGGAAAAAGGACTTGATTATACACAGAAAAAGGAAGTGAGGAACCACAAGCCACGCACACAAATTCCGTTGTAGACACCCATACCCTCAAACCTGCAATATGTGATAAAGTTGGTACCACCAAATCTAATCCATAGCAACCATTGAACCCCCAAACTCCCCGCTCCATCTGCTCGGGAAATTCTTGCTCGCAATAATCTGTTGATGCTGTGAGTACATCCAACACAGCCTCCCTCATGCTGTCCCACGTGTCGATGCTGCTCTGTACCTGTTGTTGCCGTCGTACGTACGTTGGTGATCATGTGCCTGCACTGGTGTGGTCAGGCCAGGCCAGGCCCTGCCTGTTGTCCTTGCCGTATAGTCCGGAGTCTTTTCTTCTGGCTGCTCGGCTGTATGGTGGTGCTACAGCAGTGCTGGGCTGGTAGAGGTGCAGGCATTGTGCACGCACTTGCCCAACCCCTTAACTTCATGTGTCTACCCTCCATGTTCGCGTCGTGGGACCCGTGGCCTGCCGTGCGGTAGTGTCATTGCTAGGAATGCTTCCATCCAGTGCTGCTCTGTCGGCCTCTTACGGTGCTCGTCATGCTGGCGCTGCGGGAGCCTTTGCGGGCTACCCTGTACAAGCCCACCCCGTACAGCAACAACAGCAGCAGATATTGACCACCAGCCCTCCGCCGGAAACGCAGGCGAGACGGGTTGATGTTTGACAAGTGCGGTTCGACGTGACACCGGCAATGTTTGTTCCGTGGGTGTAGCACGCCAGTGGATTGTCGCTGCTGTGCTGTACCTCGTGCCTTTCAACGCGTGCACGTACGGTTCGCTGTTTTCGTGTACTCAGCGGTGGACGGCGAAACGTTTCATTTGTCTTGTCTTGTGATCAAACGTTGACATGGTGTCCTTCCATTCCGCCGCGTGGTGGGTTTCGCGTGCGGTTGCAGGCCATGCTTTCACCTCGCACTGGTCTGCCGTTGGGAACTCCGGCCCCTGTGGGTGCTCCCGATGCTGGGGCCGCCGGAGGTTTTGCGGGCTACCCTGTACAAGCCCACCCCGTACAGCAACAACAGCAGCAGACATTGACCACCAGCCCCCCGCCGGAAACGCACGCGAGACGGGTTGGTGCTTGACACGTGCCGTTCGGCGTGACACCCACAATGTTTTTTTGTGTGCTTTACTTGATGTTGCTGCTGCTGTTCCCCTTGGCCCCATGAAAAGAGCACCGGTATCTGGCATTCCCCCGGTCCACATCAAGGCTCCCTGTAGAGGCCCTGCCATTGTTTTCGTGGGTGTAGCACGCCAATTGATTGTCCCTGCTGTGCTGCACCTCGTGCCTTTCAACGCGTGCACGTTCGGTTCGCTGTTTTCGTGTACTCAGCGGTGGACGGCGAAACGTTTCATTTGTCTTGTCTTGTGAATCACATATGGGGCAAGGAAGATTGAACTCGTTGGAGTAGGTCTACAGTGGCTCCCGTCATATCCCACGGATTGTCATGGAAGGTAGTCATGATGCCGCATGACGAACGGCCCTTGA